CTTGAGTGAAGCAGTGTAGCACTCTTAGGGCCGGACAGCCTGCGGACTTCGTATCTAGACTCCTTACCTAAGACCTCACACATGTTACTTCACTTCTTTATATCTCAGTTTCTTCGTCTGTCAAATGGGGATAGTGTTTACTGCATATGACAGCTATGAGGTTCTAAAGACTTGATCAACAGACAGTTCTTAGGAAAAAACCCACCACATAGTAAGCATGCCCTGAATGTAAGTTTTTGCTCTATCGGTACGGTCTAGCGTAGGAATTGGCCTTTCATAGTCACTTGATAAATGTTTGTTGAATGTGCTTCTGTATTTTCTTTCCAGGATCCTGTTCTGCTATCTCCCAGGCACAGCCTGCCCTTCTCCACTGTATTGTTGGGGTCTTGCTCTTTTCCTGTTAGTTCAAATCCTGCCCACATTTCTTGGAACATTGTCAGATATAGTTCAGGAAGGTGAAGACCTTATGAATAGCACCAGAATATTATCAGATACAGCATCAAAAGATGGGCCCCTCAGGTTGGAAGGCACTCAAAACATGACTGGGGAAGAGAGGTCTACTCTAAGTAAAGTTTACCTTAGTGATGTGGATGGAGTAAGCTTTTGGGACCTTCATTCGCTGATGGGACACACTTCCAAGTCAGATGAAACAGCTACAAACATCATTTGAAAATTGAAAAGTGGAACGTACAAAGCATGAATCTAGGAAAATTGGAAGTTGTCAAAAATTAAATGGATCCTAGGCATTAGTGGGTTGAAATGGCCATTTTGAATCTGACAATCACATGGTTTGCTATGCTGGGAATGACAAATTGAGGAGAAATGGCATCACATTCATTATCAAAAAGAACATATGAAGATCTGTCTTGAAGTATAATGCTGTCTGTGATAGGATAATATCCATATGCCTAAAAGAAAGACCAGTTAATACCACTATTATTCAAATCTATGCACCAACAACTTAAGTCAGTGATAATGAAATTGAAGAATTCTATCAACTTGAAATTGATCAAATATGCAATCAAAATCCATTGATAATTACTGGTGATTGGAATGTGAAAGTTAGAAACGAAGAGGAAGTACCCGAGATTAGAAAATATAGTCTTGGTGATAGAAACTACCTTGGGTATTTTATTACAGAATTTTGCAAGACCAATGATTATTCATGGCAAATACCTTTTTAAAATAACATAAAAGGTGACTTACCAGGTGGAATACCAGGAATCCAATTGGCTACGTCTGTGGGAAGAGATAGTGGAGAAGCTCAATATCATCAGTCAGAGCAAGGCCGGGGCAGACTATGAAGCAGAGCATCAATGACTCATATGCAAGGTCACACAGAACTTGAAGAAAATAAAAACAACTTCACAAGAGCCAAAATATGACCTTAATACATCCCACCTGAACTTAGAGACCATCTCAGGAACAGACTTGATGCATTGATACTAAAGACCAAAGACCAGAAGACTTGGGTGATGACATCAGGAACACCAAACAGGAATAAAACAAAAGGTCAGAAAAATGTCAAGAAAGAAAGAAAAGACCAAAATGGAGATCAGAAGAGACTCTGAAACTTGCTTCTGAGCATAGGGAAACTAAGACAAAAGACTAAAAGACATAAGGAAATAAAAGAGCTGAACAGAAAAATTGAAAAGTCAGCTCCAGAAGACAAAGAAAAATATTATAATGAAATGTACAAAGACCTGGAGTTAGAAAACCAAAATGGAAGAATGCCCTCAGTATTTCTTTTTTTCTTTTTCATGTTTTATTGTGATTATATGATATTTTACATGGAGAACTTTAGTTTTACATTCATTCCACCGTATATTGTTTCATTGCCATGGTTCCAATCCCCTCCATGCATCATCAACCAACCAAAGGGTATACCCTATAAACCTGTCCCCTACACTCCCCCCACCCCACTCCATTCTTCAGCACACAGTCCCTCTCCCTCGCTGGATCCAAAGTCCCCAGCTGCTTCAACACTCCACATCATCGTCTCTGCCTCCATCTCAGGGCCCCGCCGCCTCTCTGGGTAGGGTCCCCCTCTCGGCTCTTCTCCGTTGATGGTCCTAGAGACCTCTGCTCCTAGAATGGAGAGTTAATCACTCCCTACCTTGCTACAAAACGTCTACCTTTACATTTCCAACAATCATAATCAGTCCTGATAACAATTATTCACTAGAGTATCACAAGTTACCCATCTGCATTTCATTTCATCAGCTCCGTCTAGACAGATTGGATAGTACTCACTGGAGATTCTGCCTTCCTCCATGCCCCCTAGCTCTAGGTTCCCTCTTGAAAGCTTGTAAGCCAGTCACTTCTTGCCTTTGTAGTCCCGCCTCCCCCCCCCTTTTGGGTAGCCAATGTCCAAGTTGCCCATCTCTGTCTACTCTGTGTGGGGAGGGGGTCAGTATTTCTTAAGCTGAAAGAACTGAAGTAAAAATTCAAGCCTCAGCTTATAGTATTGAAGGATTTTATGGGCAAACCATTGAATGAAGTAGAAAGCATCAAAAGAAAATGGAAGGAATAAACAGGTATAAAATATCCAAAAAAAAAAAAAAAAGTTTCATGCTAAAAGAAACATTCTTTAATGGTTACCAGGGATGGAAGGCAGAGAAAGTAAGTAATTCACTGGCTAGAAGGTTGTTGTTAGGTGCCATTAAGTTGGTTCCAACTCATAGTGACCCTGTGCACAACAGAAAGAAACACTGCCCAGTCCTGTGTCATCCTCACAATTGTTGTTAAGTTTGAGACCATTGCTTCTGCCACTGCATCACTCCATCTCATTGGGGTCAAATCTGCAGATGGAGACAGCAAGACAAGCTTTGAAAACTGCACTTTCCAAGACAAGAAGTAGAGATTTGTCTTTCTTGAAAACTGAGGACAAGAGCGTCTCCTCCTCCTTCTGCAATGGCCATGTTTCCAAGAATTCAAATGTTTTAAAATAACAAACAAACTCAAACATTTGACCATGTTTACCTGTGTTTCTAAAAGAGGGTTGAAATCTAGTCCAAAAAAGGCCAATGTTAGTAAATTTGTACCCTTCAGTTTGGGCAAAAAAAAAAAAAAAAGTTCTGTTTCTCCAAATAACTGGGGGTGCTATGTATGTTAAATGGAACTTTTTAAGGAGTATGTGTATACGTAAGGAGCTCTGGTAGCGTAGTGGTTACGAATTGGGCTGCGAACCTTAAGGTCAGCGGTTCGAAACTACCAGCCGCTCCGCGGGAGAAAGATGAGGCTTTCTACTCCCGTAAAGATTTACACCCTCGGAAACCCTGTACAGGGTCGCTATGAGTCGGAACCGACTTGACGGCACTTAACAACAACAACAATGTGTATACGTAAGTGTACAAACATTAACAAGTATATTTAGATTCTTGAATATGGAATTGTGTTTGGTGTATAGAAATAGATTGTTATCTTACTTTACTTCACATTGTTTTCTTTGCCCTTAGAAAAAGTACTGATGTAGTGCTGTAGGATAAGCACTGGACCACACGGCTGGTTTGAACAGTAAGGTCGGCAATTCAAACTCACCAGTCACTACTGGAAAACCGTAGACAGCGTTGTTATGAGTCTGGAACTGACTCGACAGCACTTAACAACGTTCTCAAATGCAGAATTTAGTTGACACATATATGAGGGGACTTCAAAAAATTCAAGGAAAAATAGACTTCACAGATAATGGATTCTTTCCATGAACTTTTCCTTGGAGGTGGTGGAAACATACATTACCTTGACTGGTGATGATATCACAGGTAGAAGTATGTCAAAACTCATCACATTTGATCCTTTAAATATACATAGCTGATTGTGCTTCAGTAAAGCTGAGCAAAGAATTATTCAGAGATGTTTAAATGAAATTACTAGCAGATAATAAAAATGAACTGAGCTCCGGTACAAAAGCTATTTAGAAACATAGTCTCAGCAGTGCTCATCGGTTGAGTGAGAGACTTCAACTTCATTGGAAAATCATACTTAATAATGGTGGTGACGGTGTGCCATGGAGTCACTTCTGACTCATAGCAAACCCTGCATAAGGTTTCTGAGGCTATAAATCTTTATGGGAGCAGAAAGCCTCATCTTTCTCCCATGGAATGGCTGGTAGTTTTGAACTGCTGACCTTGATGTTAGCAGCCCGACTCATAACCACTATGCTACCAGAGCTCCTTATACTCAATAATCGAAAAAACAAAACAAAAATACCCTCACTGCCATCAAGTCAATTCTGCCTCTTCACAACTTGTCCCTGTCCTCTGCAATCAGACTACGTTGGGATTCTAGAGAGCAAAGGTGATTCAGTGGTAGAATTCTTATCTTCCTTGCAGGAGACCCATGCTCGATTCCTGGCCAATGCACTATTTGTCTGTCAGTGGAGACTTAAGTGTTGCTATGATGCTGAACAGGGTTTCAGTGGAGCTTCCAAACTAGACAGACTCTGAAGGAAAGCCTGGCCACACACATACTCCTGAGAATCATCCAGTGAAAACTCTATGAATCACAGTTGTCTGATCCTGTTGTGCACAGGGCCATCATGAGTTAGGGGTGAGTTGACAGTGGCTAACAACAATATGCAACAATCCTGGGACTCAGAAAAAAATATCCCCATCCCCAGAAATGTGTCCCTGTCCTTTATGGAGAAAGAGCCCTAGACTCCACGGACAGCATTCCAGGAATAAAGAGGTTATTCTCATCCCTGCGGAACTCCCCCATTTGCCCTGGATACAATTCCTCTAGGCAATTGTGACTCTTTGTGCATCATTGTCCATCTGTGGGCCCTACCATAGACGCGGGACCACTCTGGGATCTTTTATCATCAAGTGTCCTTGGCCTCTGAGATGTAACAGAAAGTAGTCTAAGCTCATACATGTCTATCAACAAGGATAAGGAAGGAAAGCGTTACAAGCATTTGGGGACCTCAGTCCATGCCTAGATCCTGGGAGTCCTGGTCATGGAGCTGGGTGGTGGTCATCATGTCTGCTCTTGCTCTTGTTCAGGTGGAACATCAGACCTTGCTGTCGACCTTGCAGCTGATGTACACCGTGGGATACTCCCTCTCCCTGGTCTCCCTTTTCCTGGCTCTAGCTCTCCTCCTGTCCCTTCGGTGAGTGTTATTTCTGCTAGCATATGTTTAGGTATCACACACCATGCAGTTTGCTTAGTGGCTACCTGTAGAAGACCGTATAAGACTGGGATGGATGATGTCATGAATCATCAGAGTTTGAAGGGACATGAGAGAAACTGGAATCCATCTACCCCATTTTTCAGATAAAGGGGCGATAGAAGGACATCAAAGATTCCAATGAGAGTCATTGAGTTACCCCAGGTCACAAAGCCAATTAGCAGCATGTCTAGAACTTGAATCTGGGACTCCTGATTCTGTCTCTGTCTCTTTTGTATTAGACAACCTCCTATGACCCTGGGTGATGCTAACAGCTAATGTGCTTGACTGCTAACCAAAAGTTTAGAGGTTCAAATCCATCCAGAAGTACTTCATTAGAAAGTTCTGGCACTACATTTTCAAAATACCAGACATTGAAAACCTTGTGGAACACAGTTCTATTCTAACACATGTTGGGTCTCCATGTATCAGAAGAAACTTGATCTCAACTAGTTTGTCAACTTGGCCCCTGCTCACACCCATTACTACCATTCTCACCACACTTTACCAGAGGCATTATTATCCAAAGAACTTAAGAAATTTCCCTAAGGCAAGCCAGTGAGTGGTACAACTGGGATTTGAATCCAGAACCCTCTGACTCCAATTAGCTGTCAGTTCTTTATGATTTTACTCTGTGCCTGGCACCTTAGTACTTTACATGCATGATTAAGTCATTTAATTCTCATAATAAGCCTAGGAGGTTAGCATTATTATTCCCACCCATTTTATAGGTGAATTAGCTAAAATATGGAGAGACAGAGTAACTTCTCCAAGATCCCACACTTGTTAAGTGATGCAAACAGGAGCCCAAATAAACAATCCAGAGCCTGAGCATTTTCACTCCCGTTTGTGGCACTCTGGGTTAATAGGCTGGACTGCAAGGTCGGCGGTTCAAGCTCACCAGCCACTCCTCAGAAACCCTATATAGGTTCACTGTGGGTCAGAACCGACTCGATGGCACCTAACAACAACAAATACTGTCTAGAGGAGTCCTAATGTGGAGCTGTAGACTAAGCACTGGACTGCTAACCACAAGGGCAGTGCTTCAAACCCACCAGTCCCTCCTTGGAAACCCTATACAGGGTCACTATGGGTTGGAATCAACTCGATGACCCTTGACAACAACACGAATATACTGTCTAGGAATCCTGGTATCATAGTGGGTTATGCATTGACCTGCTAGCCACAAGATAAGCAGTTTGAATCTACCAGCTGCTCTGAGGGAGGAAGATGAGGCCTTCTACTTCCATAAAGATTTATTGCTTGCTGTTCATTGTTGTTGTGTTGGTTCGGTTCTGACTCATAGCCACCCTGTATAGAGTTTCCAAGGAGCAGCTGGTGATGTTAAATAGTCCAGTACTGATCCTATACCACCACACCAGCCTCTGAAACAATAAATGGAGTTGTTATGATTCGGAATCAACTACACAGCACACAGCCACCACCATACTGTCCAGGAGCCCTGTTGTCAATAATGGGTTATCCATTAGGCTACTAACTGCAGGATCAGCAGTTAGAATTCACCAGAGAGAAAGATGAGGCTTTCTGTTCCCATAAAGATTTACAGTCTCAGAAACTCTATGAGTCAGAACTGACTCAACGGCACACAACTACATGAAAACTTCCAATGCGGTCTCTTGCTCCCAGTACACGGCAGAATGCACATTGCACATGGTTGCCGGTGATCTGGATGGGGGCCTAGAGACCTGCATGCTAGCTCCATCCTGGACTACACGAGTTTCAGGTCCAGCTTCATGTGAACCCTCAGTCCCGGGATGTCCCACAGCTCCCAGGGCAGAGGTATGATCACTTTCTCCACTGGGAGAGCAATTCTTGAGCAATGGGACAATCTCACAACCTGTGCCCCACTGGCTGCTTGTGACCTTCTCTACTCTCCTTTCCACATTCCCAGAATCCGGCAAGAAGTAACACAAGGAGCTACCTCAAGTCCTCTACAGCAAGGCAGGGCAGGGCAGGGCAGGGTCCATGCCACATAGAGGCTTAGCTGGGTCCCTGTATCTAGAGAGTGAGAATACATCGTTTTCTGTCAGCTAATGTAATAAGGAGTCCTGGTGTGGCACTGTGGGTTAATGCTCCAGGCTGCAAAGTCGTTTGAATTGCAAAGTCTGCACTTCAAGCTCACCAGTTGCTCCTTGGAAATTGCTATGGATCGGGATTGACTCCACAGTACTTAACAACAACAACAACAACAACGTGTTAAAGAGCCTTCGTGAGGCTCCAGGTGGCTGAGAGAGAGGTAATGAGGGCTAACGCTCACTGGACACTTACTATGTGTCACACAGAAAGTACCTATGAGTCACAACTGACTCAGTGACAACTAACAACACCAACATGAGAGGTATATGAGCACTTGCTTGATGCAACCTCTCACAGCCCTTCGAGGTAAATGTATTTGCTTTCAACCGCAGCAAAACTCCCCAGAGCAATCCTTTGGCCCCACACTTTCTGCCTTTGACTCACAGATTTACCACTTACTGCAGAGTTTTGAACAGGTGACTTAAACCTTTTGCCTCAGTTCCCCTTCCTGTAAAATCAGGATAGAAGCATTACCTGCGCATGCAGTGGTAAGGAGTAAGGATACCAATAAACACATGCACATGTAAGTGGACTGGAATAGAGTCTTGCGTGTTGGATATGTCATGTATGTGGTGTTGTTGGTAAGTACTGTGGAGACTGTTCGAACTCATAGTGATCCTGTATAGGGTTTCCGAGGCTTTAAATCTTCTTGGGAGCAGAAAGTTTTCTCTTTCTCCCGTGAGGGACTCGTGGGTTCTCATTTTTCAGAAGAGAAAAAGGAGGCCCGAGAAGTAACAATCTGACAGTCCAGCCCCAGAACCTACGATGAATTCTGTTCTTAGCGATGGATGCACAGCCCTGATGTCAGTAGGGTCACCCCCCCCCCATAGGCGGGGCCATCTGGGGAACACCCCCTGCCCCATTTTGCCCGGCCCCCTCTGGGTGGAGCTGATTCCCGGCAGCTCCTCCCCTCTCACGTGGTCCAAGGCGGAACTTGGTTGCATGTATGCAACCTGCTCTCTGGTTACCTCACTGGGTAAAGGGTGGAGGCGGGTGACGAATTACCCCACTGAGGTGACAGGCTACACCACACCTATTAATGTCACTTGTCCCTATGCCGCCACGCTGACCACCGCTGCTGCCTTGGACCCAGGAGTCATTTTTATATCACCCTCCCTGACCTTTCCAGGGGTGTAGTCTGCACCCTTCCGCTTGCCTCCCTCAGGGCCTGACACACCTGTTGGTCCAAGACATTCTTTTCTGATGACAATGCTGGTTTTCTTCGTGCACAGAAAACTCCACTGTACACGCAACTACATCCACATGAACTTGTTTGCGTCTTTCATCCTGAGAGGCCTGTCTGTGCTGGTGAAGGACGTGGTCATCTACAACTCTTACACCAAGAAGCCTGACGACTTGAACGGGTGGATGTCCTTCATACCGCAGGTAAGCCCCTTCCTTCCTCATCATCGGCCCTCCCACCCGATGGGTGGGTACCGGGCACTAGAGGATAGGGTCGAGGAGAGGAAGAAAACTGAAAAGGGTTGTCAAAGACTTTCTGATTAGACAGGAAGCGTGTGATTTAGGAAAACAGCAAACTCGGCAGAGTTGAGCAGGAAAAGGATATTTCAAACATTTCTTCTTCTGCAAATAAGGAGTTAGAACAAATCAACCTTTTAAATTATTACTGTTTTCTAAAGCAACCATGCTTTTCACCATTGAAATCTGCATCTATTGAGATTTTTTTAAAATCCTATTAACACAGTAGCCTGTTAAGCTAAACTTGCATTCCAGGAGTACATCCAACTAGATTTTGCTATACTATTTTTTCTCCCAGATTATTGTCATACGTCCCCTCATGTTGTGTGTCAGTATTTTCTTATCTACATTCCTGAGAGATTGGCATATATATATTTTCCTTGTAAGAGCTTGGTCAACTTTCCCTAATCTCATAAAACAATTTGGAAACGGTTCCGTCTTTTTCTGTTCTCTGGGAGAATTTACTTATTTATTTAACTTTCTGTTGTGTAGTGAGTGAAGGTTCACAGAGCAGATCATCAGTTTTACATTCAGTGTATCATACACTTGGTTTCATCTGGATGACTGCAAATATCCCTGTCATTCTTGTTTCCATTTCTGCTTCTTTCCCAACGCTTTTGAACTTTATCCTTGGGGTAGATGCTGCCCTTTGAGTTCAAATGGTTGATCATTCTATGGTATGCAGACCTCAGTAGTGTTGGAAGAATTTATCTAGGATTGATACTGATTCTTCCTTAAATGTCTGATAGAATATGCATAAGCCATTTGGGCACAGAATGCTTTTCTTGTTACAAGTCTTTTAATTATGTATTTAATCATGAATCTCCAGTTCAGATTTTTCTCATTTCTTCTTGTGTCAGCTGTAGTAGCCTGTGTTTTTCTAAGAATTTGCCTGTCTCATCTATATTTTAAATTTATTGGCATAATATTATTCACGATCCTTTCTTTTTCTTTTTCAACAAAAAATTGTTGTGCTTTAGGTGAAAGATTATACAGAAAATTAACTTCCCGTGTAACATTAAACAAAAAACATTTTCTTGTGGTTTTGGTGAAAGTGTGAACAGCATGTTAGTTTTCCATTCAACAATTTGTGATGACAGGGACCACACTCTTGGAGGTTCCACCAGTCTCTGTCACACTAGTAAGTTTGATCTTTTTTATGATTTTGAAACTTTTCAAATTCTATTGAATTTGTAGTGATGTTCCTTTTTTCCCTATATTTTAAAAATTCCTGATACTACTTATACTTTTGGAATCCTGGTGTGGCACTGTGGATTAATGCGCCAGACTGCAAAATTGTTTGAACTGCAAAGCCGGCGGTTCAAACTCACCAGCTGATCCTATACAGGGTCTCTCTGGGTTGGAACCGACTTGACAGCCTTTAACAACAACAACTTATTTTGTTGATGTTGTTGTTATATAAATTAACCCATTTATTACAGGCTAGGCAGGTTTAGGTGGTGGAGCATCTACTGGTCTTTCAGTTTCTTCAGTCTTCTCATGGTGGATTTTACTGTGGCTGTGGAGGTGGTGGTGTCGGTCGAGCCACCACCAGCCACCATTTTCATATAGAAACCACAGTGCCAGAGCCCCACAGCTCGTCTCTGAAGGAGCAAGTATACTTGGCATGCTGGCTGAATGCAATTTTCTTCACCATTTTCCTGAGGGAGGCACCATAACGGGTCCCATTTTTACCAACGATTCCGACCTTCTTGGTGTGTTTAGCCATCTCGTCGTCACCTAGTGCCAAGCCCAGAGAGAAACAACTTATACTTTTGCTTTCTTTTTTCCCCTTGAAGATCCTTGTCAGAAGTGTCTTAATTTTATTGGGCTTTTCAGAGGACAAATGTTTGGCATTGTTGATCCCTTTATGCATTGTTCTTTATTTCATTAATTTCTACTTTGATGTTTACTCTTTTCTTCCACTTATTTTCTTCGGATTTAATGTGACGTTCTTTTTCTAACTTTTTTCATATGGGTAGTTAAAACCACTCATTTTCAGTCTTTCCCTTTTTCTAATAAATGTATTTAAAGCCATAAGTTTCATTCTAGATATGGTATTAACTGCATACCACAAGTCTCAAGATGTAATATTGTCATTGCATTCAGTTAAAAATAATTTCTAAAACCCATTATAATTTCTTCTTTGCTCCTTATGCTATTTAGACATGAGTTTCCTATCTTCCAATTATATGGATAGTTTTTCCATATCTTTCAGTTATTAATTTCTAGTTTAATTGCATTGGGGCCGGAGAATAGACCCATTAGTGTTTCCTTTAGAAAAGTACTAGTGATAAATTCGCTCCATTTTTTATCTTAAAAAGTTCTAGATTATTGAGAAAGGGCTTTATTGATGAAGTATTGTTTCACCTATTTATGTTATTGCTAATGGCCAGCAAAGGTCAGGAGAGAGGGGAGTAAAGAGGGCGAGCTGTACCTGGAGAGAACCTTCACTCTCCACTCTGCATCCAGATGTTGAGAAAAGCTGAGCACCTCAGGTTCTCTCTCCTTTGCAGGTCTCCACTTCCTGCCGTTCGGCCCAGGTTCTCCTGCACTACTGCGTGGGTGCCAATTACTCGTGGCTGCTCGTTGAAGGCCTTTACCTTCACATTCTGCTGGGTCCCACATTGCTTTCTGAAAGGCGGCTATGGCCCACATACCTGCTGGTGGGTTGGGGTGAGTGACTTGAACTCTCAGCCTTCTCCTTTGTGAGTCCAGGAGAAAATGGGTGCCTAAGAGAGCCTTTGATCAGAGTTAGAGACCCATCTGGCGAGACACCACCATCATCATACCACCAATGCCATCAACATCAACGACAACAACATGAACACCACTATATCATCATCAAGACCACAATCATCAATACCATTAACATCACCAGTATCATCATCAATACCATCATCATTATCAACATCAACAGCATTACCACCATCTCTGTCATCATCAATACCACCACCATTGATAACAGCACCATCAACACTATAAACACTGCCACTATCATCATCAGTACCACCATCACAATCACTATCATCATCAATACCACCACCTTTATCAACACCACCATCAACACCATCACTGTCATCATCAGTACCACCATCACAATCATTATCATCATCAATACCACCACCTTTATCAACACCACCATCAACACCATCACTGTCATCATCAGTACCACCATCACAATCACTATCATCATCATTCAATACCACCACCATGATCAACAC